CTTAAACACCCTTGAGTTTATTATTACGCTTCTCACTGCAAATATTGACTGTTGTCTGTTACGGTTATTAAACCTTCTCATTCTCACAAGAATGTTTTTTAGAACTTGCACTAATGGAAAACACAGAAAGATGAGTACAGGATGCTAATGTGCCATAACTGTGTCCTTAAACCAGGTGATAACATTCAAAATACAATATAACCATCAGACACCATTGTGGATGAAACATCCAACGTTACCTGCTGCGTAGGAAGATGTGTTTGGCCTGTTTTATGATCTTCTCCAGCAGCCCTTCACTCTGCTGCAGGCTGGAAATCTCTGCTTTGTCGTAGGCCAGCGGCCCTGCCAGACGTAGGCGTTTGTGACCAAAAGGAGCGCTGGCGGGATGGGGCATCACTATAGAACTGAGCTGCTGCTTGTGGAACTGTGACAACAAATAACGTTGTTTGAAGCAGGGAACAGACGACAGACTTGGCATCTCTCAATGGAGCTACAGGTAAAAGTGTGTGGATCACCTCTCGCATCATTTGATGCAGGTTGTGTTCGAGGACATATAGATGATCATCTGGCTTGGTTTTGTCTGGAGATGCCCGCTGGTTCTTTTTTTCTCCAGTTGAATGGCACAGTGAGATTGAGAGCTGCAGACCTGGAGAACAAAAAACATATGTACACACACACGCACACACACACACACACATATATAATATATATACTGTATTTTTCAAAGATTTCTGGTGTGATGTAGTGTAGGACACTGCTAACCTGGAAATGGTTGTGAGATGATTTGATTCTTCACAACAATGTGAGGAATCTGAGATTTTATTTGAACAGCTTCCCTCGACAGTTGTGCAAAGATCTCTTTGCAGAGCAGAACATTCTGTGCTGCTTCTAGCTTCACATGCCAAGGCTGTGTACCTGGTTGAGGGAAACAGAAGGTTGCGAAGAGATCCAGTGTGACATCGCTGTACAAAAATTAGAAAGAAACGGTGGGGGAAATCTCAGTATTCAAAATTACCAGTTTTGGGTTTTGGACTTCTCCTGAACAGGTTTACTGTTCCCAAATCTCCAATGTCAGGAGCTTGTTTCTGGATGGACACCTAGGGATAAACAATAGTATGACTTACAGAAGAATCTACTAGCTAGCAATGTTTGAAAAAGACATCACAATGCTCAGAAGCTGTTCATCCATCTTTTGGTCTCTCTCACCTTGATGTAAGCAGAACCCTCTAAATCACTGGGGATCTGGACATCAAGAGGGCAGTAATCTTCTGGAAGTTTTTTATCCAGATCAATGTCTGTGTTCTTGATCACTTCAAATGTACCATGGTGAAGAAAAAGTGAACCTGGGATAGCAATCAACACATGGTTAAGAAAAGGCATAAAACAAGTCACTGACACGGTTGAACAGGCATCTGTTATACAGTACGCCTTGTTACCTGCGCTGCGGTAGCTCAGATCCCCAAGAATCTTGTCTCCAACTTTGCGTAGTTTCCACTGTGAGCGAAGTCGCAACAGCTCTGAATTAAAGTCTCTCTGCCTCCTGTTCTCTTGGTTTTCAGCAACAGACTTGGTCAGCTTCTCCGCTCCTTTAAGGAGAACCTGCGCTGCCGTGGCCAAGGATTTCTTTTTACTGATCAGCTGAAATACCTGGGAAGTCTGAAAAAGGCAGATGGTTGTTATGCTGTTTATTAGAAACCACAACAGTTTATCATTAGTTCTATTTTAGCAATATTTTAACAGTATAATATATATCCCGCCAAAATGCTATGGTGATATTCTACAGCATCTTACCTTGCCAGCAGATGGGTCCTGAGAGACTGGGTCTAAGGCCATGTATTTCTTTTCCTTCACCACACTAAGCACATCATAGAGCACGCACATCTCTGTCAGTGCACTGCGCAGGTTGTTACGCACTGAGTCCCAGGGCCAAAGAGATGGTTGAAACTTCACTGTGCCTGTATCATGAACCAATAATCACATTTATCAAGAAATTAGAACCTCTTTACTCTTATTCATCAACAAAAATAGCTATAGTTTATATCTACAAAATAATGTTTTAATACAAGCTGAAGAAATAGCTGTGTTGTTGGAATATGTTGCAGGTATGAGATAACAGAGTTTAGTTTGATGTTACATAAAATTAGCGTACAAGCTGTATAGATGTTTTTAGCATACTACTAGCATACTACTATGCTTATGTATGGTGTTCATTTTGTAGTCCTACAATTCTAAATCTAAAGTATATAATAATAATTTAAATTTTAAGAATGTTTTACTCTTTACGGCACAGCTAGAGAGCGCTGTTGTAATACATTATAGTTATCAATTAAGGGAATCGATCTAAAGCCACAGCTTTATGTTGGTCACATATTACCGTCCTCCTCTTCAGGCTCTTGCTTTACCCACTCACGGTCCCTGGGTTCGGATTCAATCCCATCTTCCTCTGAATCAGATCCTTGACTGAAATCGATCCTTTGTGCCAACTTTGATAGATTTTGGGACATGGACAAGGGGGGGACATATGTCTCTGTCCCATCTAGGGCTACTTCCTGAACCTGCTTCTCGCAGGAGGATTCAATGCTGATTCGCACAGCTGGTACCCCAGACATGATGATTAAACTAAATGGAAAGAGGAAAAGCGAAGATAAGACTTTTAATATTCACACACGGGGTAGTTACAGGAGCAATGAAAGCACAGAGATATACTATAGTAGTAAACAAAGGTAAGACGTTTAACACACAATCTCTGATAAAAAATAAAAACATTTAAGCAGCATGCAACAAACAAGCATCTGACTGTTTGTCAACATCAACTGGTATTATAGGAAAGTTTTTGCTGACTTAATTCTGGTTTATATATATATATATTAAAAGAGACCATCTGGAATAAGTACAATCCAAAGGATAAATAACTGTTTTCTTATGGCTGTGTGTTGGCAAAAGCTGCGTTGGCCAGCTAGCATCAGTCCATTGTTAACCTCAGAGAGTACAATTCCTAAGACAAAGAAAGAGCTGTAGAAGCAAAAACGAGATTTGGATTTAGGTGAAACTCACCAGTCCCTTTTACCCCGATCTACAGCACACAACAAACGTTCTATTCAGAATTTTTTTCCCCACCAGACAAAACAGTAGGTTTTTCCTCAATACACAATCGAATCCGGTTCATGATTTGTGTTAAAACTAACTTACGTTTATTTTACTGCCGCCTTGTGGTACGGATGTACTGTTAATTCACCGTTTATTAATGCCTTGACTCCGAACCTTGTTTTGATTTGTAAATATATTATTTAGTTTTGTTGTTATGTGATGCATTTTAGGATTTTACATCAAAATCTAGAACACTGTTGTTCTAGAACACACTTGTTATGTTCCTCCTCCTAGGAACCATGGAGAAGTTTGTTCCACACGGGATGGGAGGCGGGCAGTTTAAACCACCGGATATGACGTCGTGTCAAAACGGTTTAGGCGTCGTTACGGTTAGGATTCACACAATTCTAGAAGTTTACCATCGTAGACTAAGTTAAGGTAATTGTGCAATTAGCGTGTCTTTAATTGATTCAGTATGAGTGTATTTCTGTGTAGCGGCTTTTAAAACAACAATACGGGGGAAAGGAAAGTGGCTAAGGCAGCTGCTCATCTTGAACATTTTACTTGCTAATTTAAAGACAATGAAGAGAAAACTAGCCAAAATACGATTAAGTCCAAACGAAGAGGCTCGGATAATAAAAGAGGAAAATGAAAGGAGGCGAAAACTTCGAATACAGCAGGTACATAGTAGGTATAATCTATATGTGGTTGCTTTGTTTGGCTTCTCTCGGGTCTTCATGTCTGATTTCTTACATGTATGCGTTTAGCAGACGCTTTTATCCAAAGCAACTTACAAGAGAAGGAATAACAATCGAGCATGTGATTCCTCTCGGAATCGAGCCTAGTGACTGGGCTAAGTGACTTCCGATTTTGGAATAGTTAAATACTACTATTGTTGTGCGAACCGCAAATAAGGGAAAAGGGGATGGAACAATTAATTCATGCCTCTTTTAAGTTATTAAAACTCTTGTGTTAGGTGCGGGAGCAGCAGCGACACATTGCACTGAGCATACGGCAGGCTGTTGAGCAACGACGACAACATGAGCTGGAGCAGTTGGGTAAAGACCTCCAGTTGGAGTGGGAGCAACAGCAGAAAGAGAAACTGGAGACCATACAAAGACTGTACCAGGAGAGCCTTCAGCTTCTTGGTCAGGGTCACAAAGATGCAAAGGAAAATGTAAGATAAAACCAGCAGAAACTGGATACAGCAGCTTTATTTTGTGCTTTCCCTGCTTAGTATGATAATGATCATTTGTTTTGATTGCCAAGGAACCTGATTTGGCAGCAATTGCTCAAAGAGAAGCAGAAAATCATGCCAAAGCAGAGCAACGGTTTCAAGAAGCTCTGAAGGAGCTGAAATTACAACGTCTTAAAGACCAGGAGAGGCAAAGCAAGTAAGCTACATTTTACATTTTTGTGTTTGCCTAAAAGCTATTGTGGGATGGAGTTTTTCTTTTAATTTTGTTTTCTTCCCTAGAGTTATTGATGCAAGGAAAAAGGCTTTACTAACAGAAAAGGATCGATCAGCTAAAGTAGCCAGCCTACCGCCACCGCCACCTCACCCCATTGAGGTGATTTCACTCATCAATGACATTAATTGTAAATATATCATAGAAATGCAGTAATAACTGCATTGACCTCCTTTTTTAAAACCTTTCCTGCACACAGTTAAGTATGTCAAATAAAACATAGATAGATTACATACAAAAAGTTACTGTAACATTGAGACCTTTTTTCTTAAATAATCCGATGTTTTACATCTTCATCATTCATACATTTTACTCCTTTAATCAGATTAATCCTGTTGTTAAAGCTCGGTTTTCTGTATTAAATAACTCATGTTATTACACAGGTTGAATAACACTGCTTTATTTTATAATTAACCAGAATATTGATTTAAAGAAGCCCCATATAGTGAAGAAAACAGATGTCAGTGCCTTTGCTGCCACACACTACCATATGCCAGAGAGGACGGTGGACAGAGAGGCAGACACACTGCAGGTAAGATTACTATGAGTTTATATATAATGTACTGTCAGTCCCTCCGTGTTAGTGTTGTCTAAGATATTCATTTGTTTTTAGCTGTGTGCTCGCACAGAAGCTGAGGTGAAAGAGAAGAGACTGCAGGATCTTCAAAGAGAGGAAACAATAAGGAGAGAGGAGCAGCTGGAAAAGGCTCGTCACCGGGGGCGGCAGGCCCTGAGACGAGAACAGCTAGTGCAGGTTGATATCAACTGATAAGTTGATTGAACATTTTTATCCGGTTTTATTTATGTATTCTGAATATATTTTTCTTAACCGTATAGCTGGAGAGAAAACAAGAGTATTTCTTATACATGCAAACAAGGCTGAAGTTGCAAAGATAAATTGTATGTTATTCTCAAATGTCACATTTTTAGGATCGCCAGCGACTACTTGTGGAACTGGAGCACCTGCAGCAGACAGACCTTCTGAGAAGAAGACAACAGGTGTCTCAAATGCCTCCTCAGATCTTCCAGCCTCTTTACAAGAGACAGGAGATGAGAGATGATTTCCAGAGGGAGATGGAGTTTGCATTTGAGGACATGTATACTGGAGAAAGAAGTAAGGAAATTGTTGGAGTAGAGCATTATAAAGTAAATGTGTGTGGGTTGTTTAACATCAGAAATGCCCAACATTCATAGACAATAAAACATTATTGCTTTGTATCAGATTTAGTATGTTTTAGTAGAACACCTTTTGTTCCCAGGGGTCAAAGGTGATCTGGTGGTCCAGCTTGCACCAGAGCCTCTACCAGCTTCATCTACAGGCAGTCAGGACCAAGAGTTGGATGTCACACTGGATGAAGTCACCACACCAGGAACAATAGGCACATCACATGATGCTAAAGTAGATACTGAACAGACGGAGATGAAAACATCTGCTCAGAGTAAAGGCACACACTGGGCGAATATAAAAGATTTCATGCATGAACTACAGTCTGAATGTTGATATTTGAAATTATATTAATAATTTAACTGAAACTTTTCAATCTTTATGGTTTTCTTTTAGTTGAAAAAAACAAACATGCTCCAAGACATGCCTTAAGAAAACTTCTGGATCGAATTAGGAACCAGAGAAACCAGTGGACTGAACTTAGCAGTCCTGTCTCCTCAGCTGATTCACCTTCCACCATCAGTGATAAGATCCCAGAGAGGGACACAAGCATTGAGTCAGGTTCTCTGAACAGTGAGGAGAAGAAGAGGCCACCTGTTAATGAACTTGAGTCTGACCACTCAGCAGTAGGTCTGTTTGAATCCAGTTATCATTGCTTTGAATTCATTCATCCTTTGGGGTAACAGAGTGCTGGAGCACTTTCAGCAGGCGTCAGTGAAAAATTTAGTTACATTTATCAATTTATCCTTCGGGCTTAACCATGTCCAATTAAGCATTACATTATTTTAAAATTTGGAGTGACTGCTATTGATCATTGCACAAATGTATGATCAGATTTTTGCTGAATCGCCAGATTTTTGCTAAATGACGTGACACATAAGACACTTTAACCCCAGCTTCTGTGTTGACTACAGGTCAAAATTGTGACCCTCCTGTGTATACCTTTTTTCCCCCACTGATTAACACAAAATTCTCATGTCCTTCTTTTTTTCCCCACTGATTAACACAAAATTCTCATGTTACAACTTGTAAATTTAAAGTTTATCAACTTTTTTTCTTTTTTGTGTTAAATTTGGGCAGAGCTGGAGACAACAGATCCTTCCAGTGGAACACACTCTCAACCTCCTGATGAATTTGCAAAGAGAATCGAGGAATTTGAAGAAGAACGAAAGAAAAGGGTAAAATGCTGGTTCATATTTTTTTACGCAGAATTTAAAAAATGGAACTTGGTGTAAAATCATTCAAGAGCAGTGAACGCTGCCACATACAGCTTGTATTGTGTTAATGTTTGTAGTTTATCTAATGTATGTACTTAGATAATGATAAAATACTAGAAAAACATGTATTTATCCTATTTTTTTGTCAAAATATCTTGTAAATATTATTTTAGTTTATATTTTTACACTCTATTTTTACACTATGCTGAATTATGGACCTGAATTATGAGAAGCTGGATGAGAAGAAAGTTAAATTAAGATGAGCCTTATCCCATTGTACAAAAACTGTGGAGATTAATAGTGTCGTGGCAATGAATACTGTTTCCCTGGTTGTTTACTATGTTTATCCAATAATTCATTTTTTTTTAAAAAGTTTACTATGTTTATCCAATAATTCATTGTGTAATTTAATCATTCTGAAATTTCGTGGTGTGAGGGCAAAACACAGACATTAACTATTTTGAATTTTTGTAGTAATGTTTAACAATGTTTAATTCAGTGCTATGTTCACCCTCCTCAACATTGACCTAGCAGACTCTGATCTGATTCAGGTGATCCTTGTTACTTTATTAATGAAGCCTCTGAAACAGATGAGGAAGGAAGAAGTTTCTAACCTTTGCTGATTGAGGGCTGACAGTTGAGTAGAATGTGGAAGAAATTGTATGTTGATTCTTAAGAGGAAATTATGGAATTAATGTGTAGCTAGTTGATGAGTCATCTGAAGAAGGTCAACCTTTACAGCACAGACAGGTCACAAAACCACTGTGTTAATGTGTTATTGTCTCTTTTAACTGAAACATCTGTGATGTTGGAAATATTTATGTCAAACTTTCAACCTGCTCAATACTCTCTGAGGTTGATGTAAGATGTCTTTGAGATATTTGTCTGTAGTTCCAAACACTGAATATTTCTGTTTTGCTAGGAGGAGGACCTGGAATGGAAGAAGCAGCAGCAGGTTGATTTGCTCCAGGAGTTGGAGGAGCAGAAGGTCAAACTGGAGCAGATGCTGCTTGAGGCTCAGCAGGAGAGAGAACGGCTAAAAACAGCAGTCAACCAGGAAGAGACGATATACAAACAACAATCAGATCAGGGTTGGGATGTTACTTTGGTCTGCCCTGGTCAACCTTCTGAGGTCAGTTAAAATCTCTCATTCATTTATTTTTTTGCTTTAAATGGCAGCAAGAAAGAAAATCAGTTATTTATATATTTATATATATAATTCTCAAAATGCTCTAATTTCCTGAAAAACATGCAGAAAAGAACATTTTGAATGTTTTTTTCCAAAAACTTTTAAAAAATTAAAAAATATAGTTAAAAAAATGCAGTTTCTAATGAATTTTTTAAAATGTAATTTCCTGTGAAATCAAAACTTTTCACCATCTGACCACATGACATGCAATTAAGATTTTACTGAAAAAATTTAAAAAAAATTTCTAAAATGTTTTTCAAAATGCTCTTCTTTAAACAAACAGACACTGAAGGTAAAATTTTGAATTTTATTTTTTCAGAAATTTTCAGCAAAATTTTTGACCATCTGACCACATGACACGCAAAAATAGGATTTTACTGAAAACTTGAAAACAAGTGTCTCTAAATTTTTTTTCAAAAAGCTCTTATTTGATGAGAAACATGCAGAAAGGACAAAATTCGGAATTTTTTTTTCCAAAAATTTTCATCAAAGTTTTTCACCATCTGACCATCCATCCATCCATCCATTTTCATCCGCTTATCCGTTGCCGGGTCGCGGGGGCAGCAGTCGCCACCCAAATCACATTGCACCGTACCAACCCCCCTAAACCTTCCTGCGGGTGGTGAGTCCACTGGAAGGTATAAACCACCCTAACTGGGATTCGAACTTGCCCAGGAGGTGAACCCTGGGGTTCCACACCAATGACAGAGACATTGCCTCTGGGCCAAAGCGCCACCCGTCTGACCATATGATGTGTAATTGGGATTTTACCAAAAAATTTCAAAAAAAAAAAAAAATTTTTCTAAAGAATTTCTCAAAATGCTGTAATTTCATGAGAAACATGCAGAGAAGATAAGACTTTGCATTTTTGTATTCCAAAATTTTTCACCATCTAAAAAAAAAAAAAAAAATCTTAAATGTTTTCACAATGCAGAAAGGACAAAATTCTGAATTTTTTTTTTCCAAATGTTTTCATCAAAATTTTTCATCATATGACCACATGACACATAAAATTGGGATTTTACCAAAAAATTACAAAAAAAAGTTTTTCTTAAGAATTTCTCAAAATGCTGTAATTTC